TTCTGCTATTATTATTCTTCCTTCTTTATTCATGCTTGTTTTCAACTTTAAAATCCAGCATCACCAGTTATCTCTCTTCAACTCATAATGAAAGAGGTTTACGTATCCCGCTGAATGTGTCATTTACATATCTCAATCACATTTCTGGAATATGGCTTAATGTCCCAATTTCTATATTTACCCAACTATCCATAAATTCGTCTGCTACGAATGGGTTCGTTTATCTTAGAAGGAAATCTGGCTATTGACTTGTCCTGGATGTAGTGGACATGGATTCAAGACTCAAGTGCGGTACTGGAAAGTTAATTCATATACTATCAATAAAAAAACATCTGTGGCAACGACATCCAAATGGACTTTTTTAAAAAACTTCTGCTAATAAATAAATGAGGTTGGAAACCAAAACCATCTATTGGCAGGACAGGATTCATACAGCTGATGAAACCTTCTGGTTGTTGGTACACCAATCCAGTTCTGCAAATGTGAGGATGACACATCTCTGTTAGGTGGTTGGAGGTGATCGTCAGTAGCCATGGATCTAGATTTCGTATCCGTTGTCGTCTGTCAACAAGCGTAAATACTAGATTTTCGCCTCTTGCCAATAGTCTTTCAACCACTAATCACCAATAAAAGTACACTGTGATGCTGCGTCTCCTAGACTATAATATATTACGAAATAACTGATAGAATTTGTTCAGAATTTGGACAAAATGAAGTTGTTTGCCCTCCAGTGATCAAACAATGCACAATATATATCCGCTTAGCAACAGTATCAACTGGTTATAACCATAATCACATAAATCTATCCTTTTTTTAATTTGTTTGCTGCTATGGTGTTTGGGAATTTAAAGTGAAGCACCTTTTGCGAGATCCTACGTCCATTTGTGTGCCTAGCTACCTATTTTATTCGTAGTATTGTCTGTTACAGCGGTAAATAAGCTTACATTAATACCTTGGAATGACTGACAAGGACAACGACAAAATATAAGTATCCAGCCAATGATTATAAATTCATTGCTAGCAAACAGTGAAATAACCAACCAAGTTTTGTTTCAGGCAATAAGGTAGTTATTTTCATAAAATGAAGCAACCTAATTGATTATTTCTATCGTTGTTCGAATAGGTTTTAAAACTGCACCTACTCTCACACTTTGACTTGATTCCGGCTTTTCATACACCTGCCTGAATATCGTGGCGCCTCTGAGCTTCGTTACGCTGAATACAAGACGAGAATATCTCCAAACCTTCCTTCGTACAATCGAAAGGAAACGACCGATGCCCAAAATCGCATTAGGTTTTCGATTTCCGAGTTATATATATATATATATATATATATATATATATATATATATATATATATATATATATGACCGATCATGGCTTTCTGAGAATCTTATTTCCCTTCCTTCAGTCCATCATAAAATAATTAATTAAATTGGAAAGCATCATCCAATAAATGAGTTTATCTGATAGAGCAAGGTGACGATCAGTTTGTAATGCGGCTTTATTTAGCAAATGGACCACTTTTCTGGAGTTTCATAAGGTCATATCTCAATACTAAGATCAAGGATCACAGTTGAAAGGATACTGAACCATTGTTATCCTCATCCTGAGCAACAAATCTTTTGTATTTATCTCTCATAAGTTCGCTTAAAGCGTTTTATTGAAGCCCGGGAAATCATGCAAACAAACTGCTTGTCAGACACAGTAAAAGTAAAGTCGACGAAAACTAAGTGACAGTAATCTGACGAAGACTGAGAAAAGAAACATAATTTCGCTGAACACACTTTGAGGTTAATATTTCCTATTTTTACTGCTTCCTCTTGCCTTGCTATTCAGATTCTTTATCGAGTGTTATTCTGTTTAGTAGCAAACACGTCTAGGTCGCAGCACACGAATGATTTTTCGTACCTTAATCAATAGTATCCGCTTATGGTGGGATTGAAAATTTCAGTACCGAAATACAGCTGCTAGAGAATGTCCCTTTCAACACATTAAGGTGTAACAAATGCATCTTGCTAGTCTAGAACCGGTGCATACACTTGGTTTAAAACCACGATTTGGAGGTACGGTATATTGATATTTAACTACTACTACCTACTTCGTTTACCTACTTCCCGCCCGAAAAACCGACAAGTATCACTCTCAATAAAGTGTCCTACACTACTGTTTAGTACAAGAACACGTATGAACTCCCTGAGTTTTCTCACTACTACTTTATCACTTTAATTGACACTAACCAATCACCTTAAGGAAATTATACGTTCGAAATAGTGACTCAACAGCTTCATACAAATAGTTTAAGTGTTGCTCGCATCGACGAAATTATCAGTTGAGTTCCAGGCTTCTTTGAACTCATCATACCTAAATGAAACAGATGGTATCTTAAAGGTTTTCGGTAGTAACTAACTGGAGTATGTGCACAAACGCTTAGCAAGGTGATCGTGCAATGCCAAAATGATTCTAAATGTTGCATTCATCCAGGACGCACGTTTCGTCCTATTCAGGACTCGCCAGCTGGATGTATCTGCACTCTAGTAAGTGCTGTTTCCACTGAGACTCGAATCCAGTACCCACAGCTTCAAACGCCAGAGGGTTATTCACTAGGCTACTAGTGGTAAGTCTTAGTGGGAACAACATCTTTCACTGGGGTGTGGATACGTCCAGCTGACGAGTCCCAAACTAGATGAAACGCGCGTCCTGGATTGTACTGCTAGCCACCAAGCGGATCAAAACATAATGAGTGACCAGGTAGCATCAAAGCATTTGCACAGTAGGCCGTCTACTAACAGAAGTCAAGCAATTCGACCCTGTATAGCAACGGAAAATTACAAATACTTTTAAATATATAGTGTAATCAGTACGCGAAACAACAGCGAATCATTTTCGATGAAAGTATATGGTTCTTTGCCTTAAGTTCGCAGCTTTCAAGCGAGGTATCTGGAGTTCAGATTTCACTCAACATACCTGAATCCAGGTAACCGGATAGTATCAAAGGTTGTCAAACACTAAACATGGCTCATAGGCTAATACGTACTCCTGTACTTAGTTCCTAAACTAAAAACTTTTGAACAAAATATTAAATGTTAAAGTTTTCAGGATAATTTGTCAAAAGTGAAGCATGAATCCAACATAAAGAAATACACACTCAATTCTTACCAGTAAAAAGCACTTAAACATTTGTCCTAATAGACGAGAAGCCTAGATAAGAGGACAACTGCCAACTGACTCTGTACAACCAACATCGAACGCAGCGAATCACCTCTTTTTCGCGCTTAAACTAGTCATTATATTATGTGCCTAGATTGATGAGGTAAAACTACTGCAAATAGCGACAGTACATGGCTTATTAACTGTCCTAACAATAATATATGCTTGCATATATTATGTAAAGGCATACAACCCGTTACTACACGGGATCGAATTGCTCGACCTCTGTTGACAGATGGCCTCCTATGTGGATCCCCTGGCTCCACCTGGTCGCTGATTCTACTTTAGTCTGCTTGATAGCTAGTAGTGGAATCCAGGAAGCATGTTTCGTACTGTTTGGGACTCGTGAGATGGAAGTATCTGCACCCGGATGAGTGACGCCATTCCCACTGAGACACGAATCCAGTATCCACCGCTTCAAACACTAAAGTGCTATCCACCAGGGCACGAGAGCCATCTTCTGTCCGACAGGTATCAGTTGTTGTCTGATACTTCGGGGTTCGAAGCCATGGGTGCTTGGTTCGAGTCCCAGTTGGAACAACATCACTCACTGAGGTGCAGGTTTACTCGGCTAACGAGTCCCGAATAGGACGAAACGCGCGTCCTGGATCCCATTACTAGCTACTAAACAGATGAAAACCTAAAAATATATTTATTTCTTTTATCAATTGTGGCATTATTATGCGACTTGAATAAATTTAACACAAATTGATTGGGATATCTGAGATAATCTTGCCTCGCAAACTGTTCATTGTGTAAGGGTTTGAAAATGGAAACCTGTATTATGGCAGGATGTGAACCAAAAGTTTATAAAATACCCACCAGACGATCAAATGAATCAGTTAGGAGACTCAGATACTAATCAGGCCTTAATTTTACTTTAATGATCGTGAGTTTTGCCCGGCTGTAATGTTAGTGAGTGATCTGTAACTGTTCGCTCCCCCATCACATGATCTGCTCAGTCGGATCTTCTCGACTCAATCCAATACCCGGTAGAGAGTTGGGTTAGCAATCCGGCTATAAACAGTTACTATAAAACACCTCATCCACTTCGAATTGTGAACATAACAGACAGCACGCACTGAAAATAAAGCGAGAAATTACCTATGTGAATCACAAAATAAGCGTTTTTGATAGTACCTCCAGTTCACATCATATACGTGTAGTTTTAAGATTATTATATACATCAATAAAATAGAAGTCAAACGTAGAGTTTGGGGTAAAAGCAGTAAGTCAGTTAATGAAGTTATGAAACACCATCGCCTCAGATGGCTGGGCAGTGGTTAACGCATGCATAGTCATCGTCCACCCCAGCATATAATGTTAGCCCAAGTTGGTTTAGACTGGTAAAAGTTTAAACGCTGCCAAATAAAATCATGGTATCAGTTCATGACGTCTTTAACTGCTGGTGTGAGCATTGTTATGGGGATGTAGACTTTCCGGTTGGGGTCCGCCTATTAATCGAAATTGGTGGTTAGAGACTATACGCGGAATGACTCAGAATCAATTTCAGTGGTCCAGATACATCTAGACATTATCATGACCTTAACTGTCATTATGAACTTAGTCATTGTTTCATCCCTTCTTATTTCTCATCTACTACTTTCTACCACTTTTGATTACTGTCTTCCTTATTTCTCCATCATTCATCTTAGTACCTTCTACTTTGATGTGCTGATATGAGATGTGGCAACTTGGATCGTTATGCAGTGACGTCAGGGCATGATGTTGATATTGGCTTGAATAAAAAATTTAAGATAACATAAACTATTTAGGTAAAACAATAAGAATTATCATAATGTTTTAATGATGAAGGGGAAAAAGTGAACTATATATATATATCTTTGGAGTTTATATATGTACTGCAGGAATAGATTGCACCTCATTATCACCGGACACTTCTTTCTTATTAACCGAAGACTGTTTAGGGAGTGGTAACGCCGTAGGATGAGTATCTAAGCGAGTCCATTTCTCACTTACATCCCATAATAACTGACAGGCATACCGTCTATGCTTGACTGTATCATCATTTTGCTTTGAAGAGACCAATAATCGTAAATCTTGATAAACTGGAGAACGCATAACAACTTGACCTTCCTTATGATTTACTCCATCACCTGTAAGATCAATTACAGCTGGGTCGGCGATTGCACAAAACAAACTAGTGCTCGCTGCTTTTCGACTAATTAAACGAGCACATATATCACTCAGCTTGTAAAATAATTTCAAGAGTCCTCCTACATCATTTTTATCGACTTCTGAAGGTGAATTTCGAGAAATGCGGGGATTAACGACTAGAATTGAAGCTTCGCCTTTCATTGAATTACGACGTGCAAGTTCACTAAATTATAAAAATAACAGATATTATTATGGTGAGATGCTCTTTAAGAAAACAGCTGTAAGCATAGAATAAGAAAGAAAATAATTACATTATGTGGTTTACTTTTGTATAACACATAACTTGTCATTAGCTTACAATGATTTGCTTTCCTGTCATCGATTCAACCTTGTTAAAATATGGGACTTTTCCATTAAAACTACACGTTGGTTTTTTCAGCCATGAATGTTGGATTCGAGCCCCAGTGAGGACAGCATCACTCACTAGGATTCTAGTAGATCTAGTTGATGAACCTAAGGTACGACGAAACACAATTGATGAATTCTATTACTATCCACAAGTAGATAAGGAGATATCCTTTTGGTTCCGCTGCCATGCAGTAACCCTTCTTTTTCATTAGCTACCTCAAAGAGAATAAGCCTTCTTCAGTGTACGAGTCTGGAAAGTGTTGACCTCCCTCACAACGCAGTCAACACCCAAATTCCCTGAGATCATCACCGATCGTCCACATTTTAACCTTTTAGTCTCCCTTCAAGTCCCTTGGTCGACATTCCTGTTTCATCTTTCATTACTTCCAGCTCTGCATCTTTTGATAGCTAAGTTCATGGAACAGCACTTCTGTTGTCCTGAAACCACACTCCAACTATACATTAAAGTTTTGAATGTCCACACCCTTTTTTAAATTGGACAGCAAGCTTCGCTGACAAAAACTGACATCTCAGACCATGGATATGTGCTTTGTTTATGAGACAAGAATAAAAGACTAGTGTGGTTATTGACTTAATCTCACCTGGTCAATATGTTGAGTCTACGAAATGCACCCTTCGAGTTTATGGAGATTTGACAACTAGTTATTGTAGTCCTGTGTGTGCAGGTATAGCACTGAGCCCTAAGACGAAAAGTGCACTCACTACTCGACTGGACCCCAGTTGACGGTCGCCTATGCACTGTTCGATTGAATGACACAGTGAAAACTCAACGGAGTAGCTAAACTCAACCCTGTGTCTTTTTAATTTCTGTCTACCTACCCATTAACTGCAGTTCGGGTGAAGCGAATAATGAGTTCTACTGAAAACTGTCTATTCTCCTACTTCAAGCCAAATAAATGTTCAGACATGGTTGTCTTTGGAGGTGATTTCGGTGCACAAATTGGTAGGCTGTCAGACAGAAAAGTACTTTGGTGGGATTTTCTGAATGGCAACCGAACGAACGGATAATGCAATTGCCTGCTATGGTTGTGTCCATATAACCATTCTTTTTTGGTCAGCAGGAGCTTCAGACTTGAGGAGAGACATTTGCTAACATGTCGTTCACTGACCTCAACTTGGTGATGGACACATTGATCATATTACTATCAGTTATCGGTAAAGGACGTATTTGGATTGGGATTACGCATATGTCTGCACCTGAATGGACGTCAACGCATTTCTGTGGGCTCTCAGCATAACCAGGAGAGGCAGCAATTCAAATATAGACTGACAAATAGTTTTCACAATGACGGGGCGCCCTGGGGAGTAGCAAAGCTGGGAGTTGGATGGGCATTGGTGACAGGTAACAGTAGACATCTATTCAACCTCATCAAGGAGACTGGAACAAAAGTGTCAGTGGTTAGTGAGACCATAGTGAAAGAGGGATGGGTCTGTGATTTAATCACAGGGGAGATGACTGAAATGATGGTCGGGACAGCTACTTTTTCGTTACCTACTATCCAGTCATCCCAAATGAAACCTTGAGATGAGACTTTCAACACTTGGGGAATCCAGAAAGCTCTAAATAAACTGAAACTGGGAATGGCACCAAGATCAGATAGGCTGGCACCGGAGATATTAAAGTATGGTGGTGGTGTTGGATTATTGTCTAGGTTACTTGAAGTATTAACTAGTGTTTACGCGTCAGATCTGACCCCCTCTGACTGTTCCCAATCACGTATTGACCCGTTTTCAAGAAAGGTGAGAATTCCCCTTGTGGTGTGATAACCCCAACGGAATGAGCTTGACGAACATCGTATTTAAGACTCTGGATCCTGTAATTATCAGACGTCTGAGTGGAGCTCTGGAACAGCAAACCTGAGAAGATCAAGTAGGCAGGTTTCAGACTTGGCCTTGGGTGTACCGACCAGATATTCACACCCCGCAAGGTTCTGAAGCACAGGTACACTTTGTGACACCCAACATAAGCTGCATTTCTCGACCTGAAGATGGCACTCAGCCTCATTGATCGCGAGGTTTTAGAGCAGTGTCTTTTACTGAAAGGAGTCCCGAGTTAGTACGTCATTCTACTGAAGGCTTTGTATTGGAACATGCGTAGTAGTGCAAGAGACTATGGTTAGCCATCAGATGATTTGTGTGCATCGAGTGGTGTCCATCAAGGATGTCCACTCTCTTCGAATAATCTCTGCACGCAGAAAAAAGGCTAGGTTGGTTTTCGCCAATTTACTCCATCTATGAGGCTGCGTGATATCAGACAGCGTATTGAGAGCCTAGAGGACATGAATAAGCTTCAAGTATTCGACCACCTTTCCCGGGAAGCTTCATCGACTCAAAAGATGGGAACATGTGCTACGCCTGCCTCGTTACCGTCTGCCTCATTGTGCAATCTTACCTGAATTAGGTCTAATTTAGAAGAGGAATAAAGGCTGCAAGGCTAAAACTTGGCACCAATCCCTGATCTTTTTGGCTGTTGATCTGAGGCCTGTAGGCAAATGTAGGCTTCCTGACCGGGGTCTCCGTAGAAAGAGGGACCAGAGATGGAACCTTCTAGGTGACATGTCTCAGGATCGATCTCAATAGAGCAGATACATCCAAACGTTATTTTCATTTTAGTCGTTGAACTTAAGCCCAGTATTCTCTAATTCTCTCTTTTGATGACTCTTTTTTTAATTATCTTGATGCATTCTTGTGTGATATGAGGTGTGGCAAATTAAACCGTTACATGGTAATACCAGATCTAATGATGATTTTATACGTGTCAGTCTCAGTCTACTAAAACTACAGCGCCAACTTCACTTTGAAACTTTAAAAGTTTGAACTGTATCCCAAACTGGACAATAGACACATATTGACAAAATCCTGGAATCTCAAATAATAAATGGATGCTGTGTTTGTGATTCACGAATGCAGGACGTAATTGTTGGTTATTCACTTGATCTTCGGCCACTGTAGTGAATCTAAACTCACTTTACAAGTGTCCAGGGATTGAATGGCTGTCTCTCGTGGGTGTAGGTGTTGCATTAAGCTGCAGAGCAGAATGCACACTTTTCGATCTAATGCTAGTCAGTTACCGTCTTTCGTGCTGTCAGACTGAATGGGTCTGTAAAAACTGGGGAAGGTTGGGAGACTAGTCGATGCCTGTTCGTGACTTCCACATAAGCACTCACTGATTTCAGTTTAGATGACGCAAAGAATGAATTCTATCGGAAGCTGTCAATCTCGCTACATAAAACAAAATGCTTAGGTACAGACATAGCAGACGGCTTCAACGCATAAAAAGGGAGGGAAGCTGAGCCAGTGGATAAGGTATCTTGGAGGAATCTACAGAATCCCATGTGAACAGATCGATAAGTGATGGTAGTCTGTTTCAATTTTGTTCTGATATAAACACTTATCAGGACAGCAATAACTCCAATATGAGTAGACACTGTCTCACTTGGCGTCCAACGACACCAAACCAACGACAGACGCAGATATGTCATATTGCAATAAGCCATTCGTGAAAGAGGATCGGCTAGGGATTACCGCTGTTTCCAGAGACTAAATTCTCCGATCATGCGTCAGTATAGCCATGCGTAATGGAAACAAGTGACAGTGAAGCCCGTATGCTCGACTGAAAGACGAGAAGGTGAAGTGTTTTTTGGATATGAGATAACCAAGCACTAGTTTGAATATGGCAGCAATTTCCATCCTTAAGCAGTCTGGAGTGATATTCAGTCTACTGTGCAAACAGATGAAACGACAGTTGGTAGGTAACGTACATCAAAACGTCTACAAAAGTCAACAGACCTCCTCAGCCTCATCTGAACTGATTGATTCGAGAAGACTCATTTCAGTCGACTCCGACCACAATGAGTGATGGAAGCAGCTCAAACGCAAGTCGGTTAGGAGTCTTTGCAATGATCGTGTGCAGTGGTGTGTGATGAAAATGGACAGGATAGAGATGGGAAGTACGAGTAGTTGATGATACTAGACAATTATTTCGGGTTATTAAGGAATCAAGCACGAAGAAGACGAAGGTTAGTGAGGTCATCATTGGAAGGGATTGGTCATAGATGTAGCCAGCCAGGACAGGCAGGCACGTAGTTGATTGGAGCACAGTTCAACTGACCCACAACAGTGCTTCAGTTCTTTAACATCCAAAATGAATATTGAGTAGGATATAGGTATCAATCTTCCAAGTGACCTCGAAGTTAAGAAGGTTGTTTTGGATCTGAAAGGATGCAATGCAGTAAGAGTTGACAGTTTGACACCAGAGGTTTATACAGATGGAGATAGAGAATGAGTGAGTAGAGTAGCTGGGATACTGAGTAATGAAAAGGGTATCAGAGATAGTTGTTTCACTGTTGTAGATGAGTGATAATTCCAGTTTATAAGAAAGAAGAGAAAAGTCTTGATCTGCCAACTACTGTGTGTTCAATTTTATTCATGTTGTTTGTAAGACCGTAGGATCCATAGTTAGGTATGAGACGCGTAACAACTGGTGCCTGAGAAGGAAAAGGAAAAAATGGGAGTGCGTTGCTCAAGTGTTCAGCGTTCATCAAGTTTTGTGACACAGACTTCTTCACTAGCGTCCTACACTTTTTATATTTGTTGACTTGAAGTTGGCATTTAATTCTGTAGATTCTGTTGAGTTGTTGTGACAGTGTCTGGATGTGAATTTGAGGGTAGCACGTATGTACCGGTTGTTAGTGAAAACTGTCCAGTGAAACTCACACAACCGTATAAGGAAGAGGATATGAAGAAGAGTTGTGTGTGAAGCGACGATTAACACTAAGAGTATCCAGACACCCC